GTGTGGCCTTATGACACACTTCCGGTGATGCCAGGGGGTGTGGCATATGCTAATGAGTTATGCTAATGAGTTCCCCTAGCTCTTTTTCTATGAAATGACCCCTGGTTGCAACCGACTTGTGGTGACCCCATCTACAGGGCGTTCCAGGCAAGAGACAAGCAGAGCTGGTTTGTCATTGCCTTACTCCGTGCAGCAACCACTGCCTCCCATCCAAGTATCAACTGTGGCCAGCCCTGCTTAGCTTCCAACCTCTGACAAGCTCAGGCTAAGCAGGACCATTCGGGCTGCTTCTTCCAACAGGAGAGTGACTTAAACTGGAGGAAGACCTCAAACTTGAGCCGAAAGGAAAGGTGGGGTATAAATATTTCACTAAATAATTAAATAAGTAAACTTTGCTCCGTGAAGTGGTATGCTAGGAAGTAGGATCCGCCCCACTGTGATTGTTCCACATGTGCTACTGTTCAGACATTAGCCTGGGTTGGTGGGGGCCATGCTTTCATATTTACAATGCGGCTTGACTTTCAATTACCCTTTTGGCGATACATAGTCCAAGGAAGGCTACTGTGCAATCTGACCTCCCCCAAACCTGTAGCTATGATGGGGCTTTTTTGGGGGGGTCTGCCCCCTTTCTTAAAAGCACAGCCCTACAAGAATTTCCCCTGTAAATGCTCTTTTCAATCATTTAAAAACATTTTTAAAAAGGCATGCAGCATGCACTCCTTTAAGCGGAGTGGGGTGCTGTAGTCGACTAATTCCTGCACTGAGCAAGGGGGCTGGAGTAGGTGACCTCTAGGATCCCTTCTAACTCTGTATCAAGAAACTGGTCTCCTTTAAGAGAGTTTTCCTGCCTAAGTGTTAGCTTTCTTAACTGTAGAAGTCACCCACCCCACCTCCGGCTTGTTATCAGAATTGTTGCTTAGGCTGACAGGAGTGGTTGACAGCCTGCAGTTTAGAGATCTATCCTGGTAACAGCTTTCTATTGGCTAAATGGTTGAGAACACCTATGTAGAATAAACAGCTTGAGAAGACTCAGAGAGAGAAGAGGTTGCCTCAAAGCTCTCTTCAACTTCTACCCTGGCCAAACCCACATAAGTATTTCCAGTGTCATGGCCAGCGTTCCATCTAAGCTGAGTTAGTGTGAGCTAGCTCATGGGTTTTTAGCCACCGGCTCACACGTTTTTGTCTTCACTCAGGAAGGAGGGCTCCAGAGCAAACTTTTGCTCACAAGAATCCACAGCTTAGAGGGAACATTGGTCATGGCTCCCATCTAACAGAACATTTAGCCCCCCCCCCCCAAGCTGGCTATTGTCATATTCTGGGGCTAAGATTTGCAGAAGCATCTATGCTTTGGTTTTAAAAGGCTTGATTCCACAGTAGCTGAGTCATGATCCTCAGACTTCTGACTTTTCTTTCTGCACTGAGAACTTCAGCCCCACCAGAAAAAAATTTGCCCCACAATCCTGGCTACAGGCCTGACCTCCCCCCAACTACCCTCTTCATGTCTTATCTGCACTGCTGAGCCAAGGTCCTTCTGCTCTTTTCCCACTTTTGGTTCATTCCCCAACCACCTTCCACCCCATCATCAGCCACCGTGTAAGGCCCAGATCCAGTGGCTGAGCCAGTACATACTGATCTCCCAGGTACAGTCCTGGCCAAACTTCATCGGCATGGTTACAGGCGGTCTTTCCTGTGTACAGCAACCTCTCCAGCTCAAAGACACTGAGGATGGGGTGGCTGATTGTGTCGTCGTGAGTCCTCTGGGTGGGAGTCCTGGATCCACTCCGGGAGAACCGGGACGTGAAGGCCATTGGTGCTGCCAAGCCCCCTGGTGCATCCCGGTGCTCTTGTCCGGGCTGGGCTGGGAGAGTGTTTCTGCTGCTACTTCGACCCACGGTCGGTTCTAACTGGAAGAAGCAGAGACGGTGGTAAGAGAATCTCACTGAGATCTAGAATTGCTACTCCGTGGACCTCTCCGAGAGGAGCAAGGCAGTCAGTAAAAAATATTACGATCCCGTAAAAAGAAAAGGGAGAAAGGAGGAGACCAAAGCCTCAGAACCCGCCTGTGTGCTCAGGGCACCAAGTTACTTCTACAGCTTTAACCCTTCACTCATACCGGGTGATTATTGTACACAGTTATTGCTTCCAGGTGGGAGAACTGCGTTCATATCACAAAGTGTGACAATGGAACACAGATTTCTTTTGCTGCATGACTGCAGGGACATAGAGAGAATTGTCGCCTCCTGCTGTAATTTTTATATATGAGTGGCAAAATAATGTGTGAGTTACTCTTTGCCGGGTAGCTGGAAACAGTTCTCCCATACAAAAGAGGCACCCATGTGGGAAAATCTTCTTGTACAAAGCAATCCTTGGGGTTCATTCGCTCCTACCAGGACAGTGATAGCCAGTTTATATCAGCCGACTGCACCTGAACAATGACCTACTTTTCTGGGCAATCCGCTTTTCTCTGAAGCCAATTTATTGTCGTCTGTCTTGACTTTTATTATCTCTCCGTTTTAACAATGCACACAGCACACTGTGTCCTCGCTGTCTATGTAACATAATACCCCTGGACTTTTTTTTTTTGCTGTCAAGTCACAGTTGACTTATGGTGATCTCATGGTGTTTTCAAGGCCAGAGAGTTTCAGAGGAGGTTTGCCTTTGCCTGCTTCGGGACCCTGGACTTCCTTGGCGGTCTCCCATCCAAATACTAACCAGGGCCGACCCTGTTTAGCTTCCAAAATCTGACAAGATGGGGCTGGCCTGGGCCATCCAGGTCAGGGTTCTGGACTGTTAGCATGATTTAATTAGAATCAGGTGGGTAGCCGTGTTGGTCTGAAGCAGCAGAACAAAGTTTGAGTCCGGCGGCACCTTTAAGACCAACAAAGTTTTATTCAAGGTATGAGCTTTCGTGGGCATGCACACTTCTTCAGATACAATAAAATGGAAGTTACCAGTCCATACATACAGGTAGAGGGTAGGCAGCAAATCAGCATACAGCATAATGGAGATGTTTAATAGATGCAAGGACCAAACAGGAAGAACAAGCTTAGGTTACCATTTGTCTGGGTCAATTCTGGGGGGGGAACAGTGAAGGGAATAAACATGTCAAAGTTGTAGATTGATTCTTAGAGGGAAGGCAGGATAAGAATGAGGGTGCTATTAAGTTGGTACTTAATACTGGTGCTCAGCTGTTAAAAGTGCACATTCAGAGGGCCAAATTAGAATGTCTTACTTGCAAACCAGGTGTTCAGAAGTCTGTTATGAATTCTGAACGCAGTAGAGTTTTGTGAATAAATGAGCGAGAACAAAAATGGCAGATGCATAGTGTATAGGTCAAATTAGATATGACACGCAGCTGCGTGTATAATTCCCTAGATTTTATTTTGTAGCCAAAAACAGCTCACCCTGCTACTGCCCATACAGCGAACTCCTAATGCAATATAGCACTTCTGGAACTTGCGGGCTATGCTGTTAGGAGGAGACAGCAAAATTTGAGGCTGTAGCTCAGTGGTACAGCATTTAAGGCACCAGATTCAATCCCTGGCATCTCCAGCTAAAAAAAAAAGATCAGGTAGTAGGTGATGCAAAAACCACTCTTTCCTTTTGACCTGCTTGGTACCTCCAAACAGCCTCCATTGGATCTTCTTCCTTTTTTTAACACAGTCCTGCCTCTTCTGCTGCTTGGATCTGAGCCTGTCCTAAGCAGACCTGATTTAGAAGAAGCCATTGATTTCCATCAAGCTTGGACTGATCCTGAAAAAGACTTTGACTGACCTAACTCTCGTTTTCTCTGTGTATGGCTTGGACTTGCCAGCCCCAAAACAGGAGGCCCACCAGGGGTCAAACACTTGTCCAGAGCCTCTTAGAACACTCTGTCTTTCAGCCTGTCTGCTGACTTGTTCATAACTTGCTCCACGTTGGATTGCTAGTCAACTTGGCTACTTTTCTGGTTGTCCTTACGAGTGAAGCAAAACAAAAGGCCTAGAGCAAAACTTCACCTCACTGCAAATCAGCCGCCAATAAACCCCCCTTTTTTTGGGGGGGGTGATTTTCTACCAATTAACATACGCAAACAAGGAAAGGACAGTCTCCTTTGGCCTAGCGAGTCAAGTTCAGAGGGAGCTCAGCTGCCGCCTTCCTTCAAAAATGTTTGCCAGCCCAATCATGCCAGTTCAGAGGCTGCCAAGGCTTGGCACGGTAGCAAGAATGACTGGCAGGAGCCAGGAGCCTTGGACACAGCGCCAAAGACCAGGGCAGGAGGAAGAACATCCCATGATTCTGCTTCTCTGGCCTTATATGTAGAGAAGCAATCCCTTGTGCTCTTGCTGTATAGTGGTGGTGGGGGTCAGCTCTGCATTCTCACTGAGGAGGCATGAAGAAGGAAACAACTGCCATCTACCTGACTCCCCAAATTTGGGACTGAGTGGCTTTGCAGCCAAAGGGGCCTCTTCAGGGCACAAGCTCATCCAGATCTCACCAGGACATTCTCTGGAATCTCTTTTCATTGTCTCAGAATGTCATCATAAAGAAGGGTGTGCCTTGCCTTCAGGCTGAGCCACATTCCGTTCTTTTCTCCGGAACCAGCCCTGCGTTGTTCTTGGTACTTCAAAGGAATAATAAAGATGGGTGTCTCGGGTTGCCAGCTCTGGGTTGGGAAACACCTTGAGATTTGGGGGCGTAGCCTGGGGAGGGACCTCAGCAGGGTACAATGCCACAGAGTCCACCCTCCGCGGCAGCCATTTTCTCCAGGGGAACTGGTCTCAGTCATCTGGAGATTAATTGTAACAGCAGGAGATTTCCAGTTGCCACCTAGAGGTTGGACACCCTATGGGTGTCTTACTCTTGCGTATCTGTGTCTTTGCAGCCCAATTTTGATTTGCAAAACTGTGGGGTGAAAGAGCTAACCCCCCCTTCCCTACATGGTCTGATCCAAATCTGGGTACCAATACGGCTGTAGTTTAGATATGGGAAAAACCTGATTGCTGACAGTGCCCAGAATATGATTTCTTTTGAGCCTCATTGGTGAGGCTGCTGCAGCATCTCAGCCTCCAAGGGTCCTTTGAGTGTTCCTATTTTCCCTTTCTTTTCCATTTACCCTGCTGCCCAATGACTGTTTTCTCAAGCTTCCTGTCCCTTGGAAAGGTTGCAATCAATCTGACAACATTGGGGGTTCATGGAGAGACTGGACATCAAATTGAGGAAGAACACGTTCCTTCCCTGCCCAGTTCTCCTCAGCTGGATTCTAGGATGTCACCTGAAGTTCAGAAGTTGCCACCAACCATCTCTGGCCATTTATAGTGCAGTTCTAAGCAGAATAGCACCCTTCTAAGTCCACTGACTTCAGCCCAGTGTAACTCCCTCATGGATCACTGCCTTGTGGCGAAGGGGCTTGCGTGGTTCGATGAGGATGTGGGCTATGCCGTGGATGGCCACCCAAGATGGACAGGCCACAGCAGAGAACTCAGACCAAGCGTGATCCCCTGGAGAAGGAAATGGCAACCCACTCCAGTATTTTTGCCAAGAAAACCCCATGGACAGTATCAAAAGGCTAAAAGATATGACGCCGGAAGATGAGCCCCTCAGGTCGGAAGGTGTCCAATATGCTACTGAGGAAGAGCAGAGGACAAGTACAAGTAACCCCAGAAAGAGTGAAGCGGCTGGGCCAAAGCCGAAAGGACCCTCAGTTGTGGATGTGTCTGATGGTGAAAGGAAAGTCCAATGCTGCAAAGAACAATACTACATAGGAACCTGGAATGTAAGATCTATGAATCAAGGTAAGCTTGACATGGTCAAAAATGAGATGGCAAGACTGAACATCGATATCTTAGGAATCAGTGAACTTAAGTGGACAGGAATGGGCGAATTTAACTCAGAAGACCATTATATCTACTACTGTGGCCAGGAATCTCGTAGAAAAAATGGTGTGGCCTTTATAGTCAACAAGAGAGTGCAAAAATCAGTACTGGGATACAATCTCAAAAATGACAGAATGATTTTGGTCTGATTCCAAGGCAAACCATTCAACAACAGAGTAATCCAAGTCTATGCCCCAACCACTGATGCAGGAGAGGCTGAAGTAGACCGGTTCTATGAAGACCCACAACACCTAACACCAAAAAATGATGTCCTCATTATCATAGGGGACTGGAATGCTAAAGTAGGAAGTCAAAAGATAACCGGAATAACAGACAAGTTTGGCCTT